TAGCCCTTTGAAAGTGCAGTAAAATTGACTTCGCATCACCAACACTTTATACCTAACAAAAAAGAAGAAGAGAACATTAGGGTCTACGTAGATCATGATTTACAGTTTGAGCCTAATAATGAAAAAGCAATAATTTCGCATTAAAAATTGCTTTTGCGGTTTTCAAAATTTTCTCCTTTATGATCAATACTCTTTTGCATACGCTCGAATCGTTGGACACAGCGTCCTCTCCATGTCGCTTGAGGCATCAACAAAATGTGGTTTTTGAGCGAAAGACATTGTCTACGAGAATTAGTTTTGTTTCAATCGATTTATCCTTGACATTGGGGGACAAAAGGAAGTCACTGGGTGCCAAATCAGGACTGTATGGCGGATAACACATTAACTTAATTCTTTGAGTGTTTAAATGGTGAATTGTTATGTAAGCGGACACGTTAGAGCTCCAGTGTCATAATGCAGAACGGTCAGGGAAGGTTTGTTTGTTTTCGTTCTTTCGCCCGCAAACCTGCCCGTTGCGTACCATTTACAGTTGATCGGTTTATGTTCCGCTAAAAACATTGTTACTACGGGCGACCTTCTACTTCGAAATGCCTTGAGACTGAACCACTTTTGATGGATTTGACTCATCTTGAAACGTCTAAACAATCAACTGCTGTTTACATTGCGTATGCAATTCTCATAGGCGTGAATTCATGATTTGTCAATGTCTTTTAGACCATCGCCACTGCGGTTCTAAACCGTTTGTTTGTATCAATCGACATCATTGTTGCATCATTTTGAGATTTTGTCAAATTATGTGAAATCCAACGAGAAAAACCGCTTGAGCGGCTAAATGAACCCACAATATTTTATATATGTTAGTGGAGCTATCGCCTAAATTCGTCTCCATCTCACAGTATGTCAGATGTCGGGCTTGCCTTATCAGTTTTTGGACAGCATCAATGCTTTCTTGCATAACAACTGATTTTGAATGACTTTTACGATTTTCGTCGGCGAGTCAAACGTGGCTACGATAAAATCGTTATAGTAAGTCAGGAAGTAACTGGATCGATGCTTCGATGTCTTAAAGATCCATATCGAAAGTTGCCAAATTAATTTCATTTAATTTGTTCAAGCACAGTTCTTAAGTCAGTGTAAGCAAAAAAGCGTAAACCGCGCGCAATATGTTGCGAGGAAAGTTATGGTCAAAACTCTTAAACTTTCCAATGGAAGCTTCAAAGCGTTGCCAGTGGTGCCTAGTGTTGCCAAGACTCAAAATATATTAAGGGAGCCCTTCGCAGAAGCTCTCTGCTGAATTTTTCAGCAGTCAGTTGTGAAAACAAAGAAGAAGAGAAGAAGAGACAGATAATACATCAAAACAGGAAAGTATTTTAGAGGTAAGTAAGCGAAGAACGTTTTAATAGACAAGAGGACTATAGGACGTTTCACTTAAGTCTGGATGAATCATTTTAATAGAGTCGTAATTGTTTACAGCAAGTTTTTCGTAAGGTGATCTATCTGCATTTATTTATTTATTTTTTTTTTGAGTGTTTTAATCGACTCAAGACGTGTTCCTCGTAGTTAAGAAGACAAGAAGGAACTGTTCAGATATGTACCAGGCGAACACGATTAAGTAGGCTAAAAATTCTGGCTTTATCCATTGGTGCATTTTCCTCATGCCCGAGATGTCTAAGAAACCCATATTTTGACATCTTTCTAGTGCGCTTCATAGTCAAAACATAGGTTGGATGATCGGCTGATTGCGTGTCTAAAAATAAAACTTCTCGCTTTTTAAAATAACATCGTCATCAATTGTGTTTTTTACATGACAATACTGTAACTATTTTGAATGCAATTTTGCTACGCTGGACTTCTGAGGTCCATTGATCGGAAAGTCTTAATTTGAAAAATGAATTTCAGCGTTTTCGTGGTTAATAGTACATCAAAACGTCTTCGATTGTTAGCAGATTATTTATTAAGTGACTCCATTTGGCTCGATATTCTTCCAAAATTGGGTGAGCATCTTTAGTTAAACATTATTGTCTTCATTACTCAGTATTGACTGATTTTGCATAACTGCAGATTCATCTGAAAATTTCGTTCGTTATTAAGTTTTAGCCGGCTGATGCAAGGACTGATCAGAGGCTTTCATTGTTTCTACTTTCATTATTTTCTTCTTTTTTATTACTGGTACCACAGGTCTGACGAGCCGCCGAAGCACTTCTCCAGCTTGTGTCTCGCCTGCGTGGTGACTTTGGTGTTAGCCTTAATCGCAGGAACAGCTTTTGTTAGGAGTGGATTTGCATATCAACTTTATCGCACTCAAAGAATGACGTAGGTTTTGGAGAGTGCCTCGCTCTCGCCAGAACGGGAGGTACGTCTATATATACGCATCTTCGTCTAGCGCTCGCGGACCTAATTATCCTCATCGCAAAGAGTGCGCCGCTATAAGGGGAATAATTAACCTCGGGGCACTGAATGTGCGTTTTCACTCTCCATGTGCCTTCGGGCACCGTGGAATGGCTTAAGTCTTCAGCGTAATGTACTCGGCTAAAGAGAGTTCACTAATCAGTACGTTGGGCTACGATTTAGCTTATTTTTGATTTTGATACCGACGATTTCTTGCAAAGCTCTTGCACGAAAACACAACAAAGACGGTAAACGCACTCACTCGCGGAAACCATTGTACAGTTCACATTTTTTTCACTGCAACGCCGCATTGAAGCGGTTATATATTACTCATCGTTTTGGAGAGATGTAAAAGATGTTACACTCTTTACTCTTTACTGTTTAAGACTTTAACTTTCCGATTATCCCAATAATTTGAGGTTTGACTAAAACGAATGAAATCAACTGCTATGTCTATGGATTTTTAAAATGCTTTATAACGTTCACATAAGCTCGTGCTTTTGACCAACACAATATGCCTCAGGCCTTCTGCAACATTTTCAACAATTCGACGCACGAATTTTTCTTTGACATATAAAGCCTAAAGCGGCAAACCCTTCGTTCGCATAATTTTTTTCTTTGCAGTCAGTCAAGACAATTTAAAAAAAAAAACTTTTGGGCCGTCACTGCTAGTCTCTTTCAAAAAAAAAAAAAAAAATAAATAAATTCAAGGCGCTGCATACACTGCTGCATATGCAATCGCCAAAATCGAACAATCTGGCCCGATAATACAAAGACTCATTAGCGAGAAGCTGAAGAAATTTTGCGAAGAAAAACTCATTTGTTTCACAAAAGCATTTACATCGTATGCATCGTGCATAATATGCAAGACATAATTATTGCTATGTAATGCAGAAGCGTTTCAAAGACTTAACCTATACGAATATGTCAAAGTTCAACTGCTATTAATAGCAAATGATTGCTAATCATAAACGGAAATGTGAGCAAATCCGGCCCCTGAAAATGTGTTAATGAATGCTTACTCATATAGGCTGGGAAGAGAAATGTGTCTCGACGATCCTCTCATATATCGAATAGAATAGAATGCAATTTTCGTTTTGTTTCGTTTTATTTTTACTGTTATCGCGTTCACTGCTTGCCCTTGTTATTGGCTGTTATTGTGTACCTAAACTCTTTAAAAACCAAAAATTCCCACATTCTCATCAAATTGCTACAAAAGTCATAGTATACAGTATTGTACTGAATGCGAAGCAAATCATTCACTAACAACAATAAAATAACGACAGCAAAGCAGCAGTAAAGGAGTAAAGCGATGAGATGATGTGAGCTCTTTCGCTTGAGGCTAAACGAACGCGGTTCATATCAGCTAAATATGCCCTCTTGCTGTGGTCACGTTTGCTAAGCCGTTGTCTGTGACTGTATTTGTTGTCGCTATTAGCATTTAACGTGTTTGCTTGCACCCGCACAAGTAACATACATACATACAAACATATATATATATATATATATATATGTGATGTAAACATCCATGAACATACTCTCATACATAGCTAGGTATATATGTAAATATGCTAGGTATGTATGTAAATACATACATGTAGTCTCTGTGAAAGTTAAATATTCATTTGTTTTTTACTTATGCCCCTAAAACTTCTCCATCAGGAGTTCACATTTACCCGAAAATACTCTTTGTAGCTGAAATTTCAATTGAAATTATTTCAGTTTAGTTAAAGGTATTTGTGCGTACTTTTTTTTTTTTTGTTTTTCCTTTTTTGCTCCCATATACACGTATACGTATGGGCTTGTTAATCACAGATAAAACCTTTACATAGGACAATAATCAAAAATTCACCTTAAAAACGCCTATAAGGTTTAAACTAAAGGCAACTAACTACCACTACTACTACTACTACTACTAGTAGTAGTACTATTATTACCACCAACACACACTACTGCGGCAATCGAACCGTTCGCGTAGGCAAAGTTTTGAATTTGTCTTTATAGCGCAATCTCACACATATACATATACATACATGCAAGCATATAGATCTATGCACGCATACTTATGTCGTATCACACTTAATCTATGTAAACACCACGCATACATAAACATTCAGACATTCGTGACAAAATCGCATATGAACGAAGTGCATATACGGATATACATAAATGAATAGTGGCTTATAGTCTGTTGTCTATAATATAAGAGCGTATTTGTATGCATTTGTGTTCAGGTTTGTAGCGACACATACATGCATATCATGATTTTTGGGGTAAAGTTACCTCTAAGCGCGTATTTTGTGCTTTCGCGACACGACTTTGCCGAAAGATGATATTTACTGTCAACGTGTTTTGTGGACATTTCCGTTAGTGAGTTAAACTCTGTTGACTTTTAAAGAGGCCAATAGAGCTTTATGCGGTGACGGTGATTCTGTACGCGTTTGATTGTACGCTTGCTTATGTTTGCATTTGTTATCGTTACCGTTAGCTTTGAGAATTACAAAACATTGTTATGCGATCATTGCATAAACTAACATACATACATACATACGTCATATATGCAACATTTTTCAAAATTGCAAGAATATACTTTTGCTTAACTAAGTTCTTACCGCTTTGGACAAGAGGGCTCCACTGCCAAAGGAGATCTTTGATCCAATGCCACAAACGATGTTCTAAAAATAAATCAGAAAAATAAACACATCTATATATATGTATATATATATAAATATATATGTATGTATACATGCATACAAAACTATCATCTTTTATGATAAATTTACGATAAAATTTCATCTCATTTTGCATCACTAATTGAGTTGACACATTTTTCAGAAAAAATTAACAACGCAATACTCTCATTTAAGCTTCTTATAAATGGGCGTATGTTAATCTTGAGCTAAAGAACTAAAAAACGATGGAACTAAAACGATATATTAACATAGCACCTTTGCCAATTAATAGATCTTAGACGATTATTAACTTTCTATCGTTTGCGTTAAAGTGATAAAGGATCGATTTAAACATGCCTCTCAGTCTATCGGTCCTCTGTTACGCCATATAACAGGTACGTAAATATTAGAACGGAATTTGCCCATATTCGGCATTATTAACCGAATAGGCGAAGAATCGAGCCTAATAACTCAATGGTCGCAGATTAAAATCTTAGTACGGTACTCTAGTAGTAGCTATAGTGACTTCTCAGTCGGTAAAGCACTTATGGATTGGCCTTAAACACACCAGGCTGCGGCCATCTCCTTGTCTCTTTCTTTCCTAAGTTTTTTCTGACCGCCACCTTGTCCCACTTATAGGGGGACATCCGCTCCATGAGTAAATTGGAGAAAATAAGTAGCCCTAACACCACGTGTAAAAGACACACATTTGCTTATTTATTTCTTTTCCATGTATTTAGATAAATTTACAAAATCTGGTCAAAAAATGCTGGATTACTACAGGCAGACCTATCCGAAGTAGTGATATTTTATAGCTTAGTCATCTGGCAACAACAAGCAGTGGTAATATCAACACATATCGCTGTTCAAAAAACAAAAAAAAAGGGGGGGGGGCGGAATATCAAAAGAGATAAAATAAGGTTTTTAATGCGTCTGCTTGCAAAAAAAAAGTGCGCTTAGAGTTTTATGGAAAAGTGGATAAAAGTTTTTTTTCTCGACCAGAATATGCCCACCGTACGTGTAACAGGGTGATGGCGGGAAGTGTAGAAAGTGAGATCGGCCGTGGACTGGCCGCGGGACGTGAGTCCGGACGGAAATTGTTATACCTTCCCTGACAAAGCACTCTCTAAAGCAACAACCACATATAAATTGCATTTAAAGCATAATGTATTGCACGTAGGTTTAAAGCGGCATATGCCTGACTTGACTAGTATAGTGTTTATGCGCGTTATCTTAAAGAACACAATGTCAAAAACGTATAGTGAAAGAATTTGGAAGAAATAAATTTTCAGTGTGTTGCGTTAGCCTTAGCGACACCAACGTTATATCATCGAAACTAATCTTCCACACAATCCATACGAGTTAGGACATCGCAATGAAATTAGTTTTAGGATGCGTTAACTTGTAGGGGGGAAACTGTACCATTTATTTCGACGGAGGTTTGAGTTGAATTTATGACATCATGTGAAAACGATGTCCTTTCGAAAATTAATTAATTTACATAAAGTCATGTTTTGTTTATAATATTTTGTAAAAAAATTCTCGAAGAATTCCATTTTAACCATATTTTGAGTTAAATCATTCGAAGACTTCGTTCAACAGAATTCTGTTAACGGCTTTGCAGAGCTAATTATATTTAAATAAACTTTGCACACTTTAAATTCGATGATTTTGCTCTTTCTCTACATAAAATAACAATTTTATTGAGTTACACAGAGGCTAGTCATGAAACGCTCAAAATTGCATTTTCGACATATAGTATGGTTTGAAAAATTCTGTTGTCGAAGCCCATCAGACACTTTTGGAAGTTTATGGTGACGCTACTCTATCATGTCCCACTTTTGTAGACGGTGAATTTGGTGTCAATGACAAGGAACGGGCAGGAGGACCAAAAAAGTTCGAGGACAATAAATTGCAAGACTTATTGGACGAAAACCCAGCTTAAACTCTCAACGAGTTTTCGAACAACTTAGCAGTTGATGAATCAACTATTTCTAGACGTTTACATGCGTTGAGAGAGCCAGAAAAGATCTCGGTACCGAAACGTTTCAACGTTGCGGTTTCATTGCCTGCCGAAGAAAAAAAAAAAAGAGTTTTCTATGGCGTATGGTGTCTGGCGATGAAAAGTGGATCTAGTACGACAACCCTAAGCTCAAAACGTCAGCAGAGCCATTCACATCGCTTCAGTGAAGTGGAGTATTCAAGTAAAGTTCTGCAGTGAATATGGCGGGATTAGCAGAGTATAGTGTATTAAGAGCTGCTAAAAGCGAATGAAATCGTTACTGCAGATGTCTACCGACGAACATACTGAACGATGTTTCATTGCAGCAAAGAGCAGCAGTAGAGGTTAACGTATGCAAACTCATCCTCTTCCATGACAAAGCTCGCTCACATGTTCGAAGAGTTGTGAAAGATACGCTATTGGAGCTCGAACGGGAAGTGCTAACGCAATCAATGCACTCATGAGATATTTCAGATCGTTGCAGCATGGCTTGGTTGGCGTGCGGTTTTGAAACCTTGAAAAAGTACAAACCAATATCGTTCTTTCGACAAGGTATCGCCTTGTTGCCCAAAAAGATGGGGAAAAGTTGTAGAAAATTATGGAATATATTTGCATTGATATATATTGTACCAATTTTTCTCAATGAATGACGTTTTTCTAATGAAAAAATGATCACAATACATGCAAGCAACTAATACAGAAATAATAACAAATATATGTATATATATTTTAATACCAACATTTAATTTTATTTTTTACATAATTTTTTACAATTCTTCTAATGTGTTTCTGTCGAAATTATAGGTTAGGCTTCCCTCTATACTCCCCACTGATGGATGTGGAAATTCTTAACATTATTTTTTTATTTTTTTATTTTTTATTTTTTATTTTATTTTTTTCCAAAAAGGAAGCTTCAAAGACCCTACAAAATTCTGAATTGGTTAAGACACGTCTTTCCGTTCTGTGTTTGTAAGGTGTGTATTGTCTCAAATGAATATATCGATTTCAAATTTGGTAGCGATGTTGGAAGTTTTTGCACGCAGGTTGGTATTGAAAATGAGCCAAATTGGTCGGGACAGAAGCCGGCAGTGGAACATAGACTGAACGCAACTCCGTTTTTCTTAACAAAAATTTGTGAGTTTTGCTCGTCACGCAGCAATTGCGCAAGTTAGAAGGTTGAAATTTTCTGCATTTACTTTACGAATCACGTGCAAAAATGGAAGAAAGCGCTCATACCCACAGAAAGTAACAAGTGATTAAATTTATTTTATTTTCCCTTTTTTGAGGTCTTATGCTTAGTCCTCATAAGGTAAACAAAATAGAATTTTTAAAACTATTTTCTACATTCTTCACGATCGGCCTAAAAGGGGCCTGAGATATACGCGGTAGGCACCACGATGAATTTTTTTTCAATAATGCCAAGCGATATGGGTATCAAATAAATGAACTTGGGGACTAGAAGGCGCAAAACGTAATGGTGACTATGGAAGATTCGGCTCCGCCGAATATAACTTTCTTACTTGTTTTTTTTTTTATAATCATTATACCCTATATCACTTGTAGTACAAGTTTATATGAAGTTTGTGCTGGTGTTGGTGTATGCAACATTCAGATAGACTTGAGACAGACAGACCTTTGATAATCACTTTCTGAATCGATTTAAGCTTGTCTGTCCGTATGTCCATCTTTGCTTTCTTGTGTTTAACTAACAGGCCGCCATTGTGCTTAAGCAAATTGGTCTTAAGTAAAGTAAATCCGAACAATATATTTATTACAAGACGTCAGTTTGCTTAACTTGAGAAGCAATAGAAAGGGATAATAAAACAAGTTACGGAATAGAATACGAAAAGGCTAGTGGTGACTACTCGAGAATGGGCCCCCGCCGAATATAACTTTCTTACTTATTCATATTGTCGTAGTTAAAACAAATTTAATGTTAGGTATTTTTGAAATTCACTCACGATAGTGGAATCTACCACTAATCTATCGTCACTTGCTTGCCCCAGTATAGGTTCGTGAACGCAAAAGATTACGAACGGACATCATTCGCAGTTACGTAGAAGCTTAGGGTAATTAGAAGTATTACCTTTCGAATTTTTAAATCCATTCAGTTGTAAAAAATTTCTATTTAGATGCGGAACCTGTCTGTCAAGATATTGCAACTTGCAGAAATACTCGAATATAGGACTAGACTAAGACTAAGCTGTAGTTGCTGGAAAAATAGAGCAAATTCTTACGAACACAGAGAACTTCTGTATTTAATTTAAGAATTATAAGAAATTATAGCATGTAGTAATGAGCGTAGAGAAGCCGAAAAAGATTGAATAAATCAATCCGGCAGATTCTCGAGCTTAATTGCGTACATAAAATTGAAAATTGAATGAAAATATGAAAATAACTATTTGATGTATTTTTCATACTCTATATCGCTTTTAATACAATAATATATGATTTGCGATGGACCCATCTTTTATTATACCCATGGATTCATAGTGACTTCCTGAAATGATCTAAGTTTGTCTGTCCGCCTGTCCGTTTTTTTTTTCTTATGTTCAACCTTCAAATCGCAATTTTTGAGATATTTTGATGAAATTCGCTGCATCGTAGTATTTTAACCCAAGGGCGAACGCCATGAAAATGATTCGGATTGAATCGTTTTTTCGACCATTTTCCTTAAACTCGTTAAACAAATAATTGTAAGATGAGGTGAGGGCCGCGACGCGATATAGGGTTTTTATTTGGTTAATATCAGTCAGGGCATATCCCTTGTATGCGTAATGCGCCAGTAATAAGAAAGAATTGGGAAAGTAGAAAAAGATTGTGGGTCACCACAGTCTATATAGTAGCTATCCCATTGCACATTTCATATTCGCAATATCTCAAGAAAGTACATAAAATCTCAATCAATTTGTGAGCTGTCGTTAAGATCTTGGACAAAGGGTGAAAACATCATCAAGTTTATAGTGATCATCACGCTTTCAGAGACTTAATAGCATTATTAGGTGCATTCGTGAGACGTTTAGAAGCGGCAATGTTGTTTGTGATTGAAACTGACCGACTATCGTAATCGGTAACAGAAGATATGAGATCATCTGGGCGAATTGTAAACAAGAAGAATCAATCTCTATTCAAACCTCTGATTAACTGAAATCACTTAATCAGTTATATCTGTCCCCATAGAAAAATCGTAATAATAATTACGACTCACTTTCTTCTGGATATAAGGAAACAAAGCAAATCACTAAAGAAAGGTGGCAGCTGTGATAATTAGGACTGCAATTAGACAAAATGCTCTCCGGAAATGCTTTGCACTAACTGGAGAGAGCTAACAACAGTTTAGAAAATTGAAAAAATAAAAAGCTAACGATGCAAAGTAGGCGAGTTTAGTCCCCATAGGCCCGAGATGATCGGTTTTGAAAATAGATATAGTTGCGGTTGCGAATACGTCCTTCCATCCTTTCAATCCTATTACTATTAAAATGTAATTTTTGACAGTTTACAACTTTTCAGTCGCATTAGCAGAGCGTGCTCATATGTGTATGTAAATCAAGGCAAATTTGATCGAGAAGTAGATGTAGTAATGCGAAGGGAGGAAATTGCATTTTTTGAGTGGTATACTGGATAAAACTAAGTGTGCATACTTTTCAAAAATAACTTTCTAACCCATCGATTATTGTGAATTGTTTTAAATATGGGTTTATTTTTAAACGGATTTTTTCGAAATAAATATTGGACTCAAATTTGTGTCTGTCGCCATATATCTTGCCAGTCCAAATATTACATATGGTTAAAGCAAAGCCTGATATAATTTATTTCATTTTATCTGTTTCATATATATATATACATATATATCTTTTTGGAATTAACTCACAATATATTTAATAAATGCACTTTTGATGATTTTTCAATGATTTTTTGAATCAATACAATGTATGCTTGCGTTTACTTTTCAATATTATTTTTGATTAGAATTTTCCTTTTTTTTTTTATTTCTTGTTTGAAATTTTTTCAATGCAATGCTTACTTGCATGCAATACTTTTAAATGCAATTATAATGTTCCGGTTCCGTTTGATGATGTGAAAAGATTAAATTGCAATGTACCGTTAAGTCGTTTAATGTCCGTTTCAAAACACTTTTACACTTTCTGAAATCAAGAGTATTGAACAAGTTGAACAAGCAAATAACTCTTTTTAATATATATTTACGTAGATTACTTCGTAAAAGTTACCGCGACAAGAAATTCGTATACACTCTCCCACCAAAAGCTAAATTCAAACTAAAAAAAAAACAAAAACAAATGAAACAAATCAGCTCTCAGAGTTAACAAAATTTTACAATACTACTATAATGCTGCCAAGTAATCAAAGAAACACTCTCGGTTCAAACTTCAAACTGGATTGCAGGCGAATGTTTTCAATTTATATCAAGTCGTTGCTAGTTTGGAGGTCTTGTTTATGTTTGCTTAAGACTAAGACCGTTTGGTTTCATTCAAACATGTTCGACGGGTGCAATATGAGTTTATATTTATATTTACATCTCTGAACACAAATGGAGAGAATAGAAATGGAAAAATTGTTTATTTCTTTAGAGCATGCGCTTTATATTAGAAATGTTTTTCTTTCTTTTTCTTACCTTTTGTTAACACAGACTTGCACGCGTATACACAAATACAAATGTGCCCTCTTTCATGGACGACCTTGGCATGTAATAAATAGCTTCCTTGCTTTGGAGTTTAGACGAGATTTCCTTCGCTATATATGATGTTGCTCTTCTCTTGTATTTCGATACATGTAGATTTGTATATATAAATGTGTGTGTGTGTGAGTGTGTGTGTGTAGCGCGTGTGTTTGCGCGCATATATATACATGTGGGTGCACTAATATATAATCTGCAATTCGTGCTCTGTTCCAAATGTTAACAGTACTCTGGGTTTATAACCCGTCAAAACAAAAAAGTAACCAAACAAATAATTCGTTTGTCATATAAACGAGTGTGTATATGTATTTGTGTATGCATTCATAAAATGCCGCATATTAAACGCAAGATGTATATCAACATAAGGGCAGAGTATCATCATTAGCATTCATTTTTTTATTTCATTATCTTTAGTCGTCTACAATTTTTCTCAATTATAAATTAAATTTTTGGTTAACTTAGTCACTGTCTGAACATATATATATATATATCTACATATATATATATCTAATTTGTGGCAAAAAAACATCGACCCTATTTATAAAGATAACGCTGTTTAATCTTAAATCTTGAGATCTATGAAAGCAAATTTTGACTGAAATGAATTCTCAAAACTTTTTAGACTATGTCGATATATGTAAAGACTTGAGACCTTAGAATCGAAATAACCTTCAGTTAGTCACAAGAGAGTTTTAACTTAACCATGCATTAAGCATGAGAACATAAAATGGCATATTTCCTTATACGAATAAACAAGTAAAATGCCGGCTGTAAAGTATGCATATCGCCCGACAATTTATTTAAAATAAGCTGCAACGATAGGTTTAAGCGAACGAAATTATAGCCTCAAGTGGATTTGCTTCGTTCATCATTTAGCCGACAGCAACGCTTGCAGAACGAAAACATAGCAAAAAAAAAAAAAAAAAAAAAAGTAGAGAAGAGTAAGAAAAATATATTCACTCTAGGGGATACATTGAATGCCCACCACCTCTATCAACTATTAGGTTGGCTAAGCCTTTAAAAGATCGCTATACGCAAATTTTTACCATTGTATCATTCATATACTTTATTACATTATTGGTAGGTAGGGGTAGATTAAGCATAATTTTGATTGCATGTTGTACGACAAGGCTCAATACATTGTAGATGACATTGTATGAAAATTATCTAATTCTTCATATTGCGAGCAGTATTCAGTTGACGGTTGAAAATCGCTTCGTATTTAGTTAGTTTGCGAAGTTGCTTTACACTTAATAACAGATAACTGTGGGAAATCTTTTCACATATTAACGCTCTTGGATCAATTTGTGACGGGAGTAGATGGGTCATTTTAAACTTTGATCTACGATATCGAACCAATAATATCTTTATCATGTTTTGATCTTGTTAAGGATCTTAACCTATCGCAGAACAAATAGACATACGGGAAAACTTGGGCATATCACCTCAGAATGTCACGTAGGTATTAAGAATGAAACGAATATATATCGATGCAAAGAGTATTATGGTAAGGCTATACGGCCCAGAAATTACGCTACGTTATGTACATGTGTGTATATATTACTTACTAGATATACAAATATGAAACCGGAATTTTCCCATAGATGGTCCTAAGACCATATAAAGAGGGCACATTTATGTTATGTGCTCTCATCATTTACATTCATTAAAAATAACTTTGTTATAGGATCTGTGAAGAGATGCATATATATATATATATATATATGTATTATGGCATATATATTATATATATATTTGGGAATTATATGTAAATTTGAGTAAGTTAGCTCTATGTAGAGTGTGCTTAATTTTGATATTGAGGCGTGTCTCGAAATGGATTATTTTTTCATTTATTCGTTACACTTTATAAGATAAAGACGAAAATGAGTCAATATACCCTCAGCCCAGGCGCTGGCAGTTTTGAGCATGAGTTACAATAAATATTGCAAACTATCAAAAACTTATCGTAGTTTGTGTAGCTAAAATATATACGTACGTATTGGCGTACGTAGGTAATATAGTGTGCGAGCGTGTTTTTGTGTGTGTAAGTGTAAGCTGCTAGAGGTATGAAAGATAAATGCTTAAGAATATTGAGTATACGTGCATTACATTTATGTATGCATGTGTGTATATTTGTATAAATTATACATATATACGTACATATATATACATATTCATTCTATGTTATATAATTACATCTGTTTAACTCGGGGCGAATTCGTTTGAAATTTTTGCTTGAGGTTAATTTATCACAAGTTCTTCTTTACTTGGCTTTAGGCGAAACAAAAAAAAAAACAGAAGAAATGAAAAAAAAAAAAAAAAACAAAAAAATTGGTGCTTGTCTAAAAGAGAACAATTATAAGGATGATGGTGGCGGACGGCGGCGGTGGTAAGTTGGTTTTGATGATGGGAGTGCTTGTTGTTGGTACGGTGTTGTTGATGATCTTTATTCTGTTATCCATGCGGCTATTTATGTTCATCTTTTTGAAGTACAAAAAATAAAACAACAACAACAATGATATCTGCGAAGGAGCGAGCATACCCACGCACATATATTTTGGTATAGGTAACGATAAGAATAACCATTTGTAGGCCAGATGGAGCAACTTTTACATCAATGTATATAAAAATTTTGGTATTACGTAAATGCTACAATATCAAATTGTGAGCTGTTGTTAATGTAATTTGTACATCTTCAAATTAGTCCGAAAATTCGTAAAATGTCTAAAAAGTTGCTCTCCTGAAATGCAATCTCAAGCACAAGTTCTTGTTTTCATTACTTTTCTTCACGTAGGGATCGTTTCAATAGTTCGATCAGATTACACGATTCGAACGGACAGTAAGCTTATGGACTGATGGATGAATTGGTAGACGAGAGTAGATAAGAGCGACGAACAAACGAACGAATGGGCAGATGAAAGACGAACTCGCGAGTAAACAAAGGAACTAATCGACGGCCAGAAGGTAAGGCATCTCTGACGTTAAAGCTCAGAAAAAGTCAAAATTGGAGAGCTGCAATTCCTCTTAGGCCAGTGTAAAAATAACAAAAGCCTAACATTTTATCCATCGATCTGTAATACATTACAACGGAGAGCAATAACGTTTTGAAGTAGAAACAGAGAGAGAAACTGACTGATTAATCTTTGAAAAGAAGAACAAGTATGAAAATTATATTCGGTCGTGACCGAATCATTTATACCCATCACCGTTATCCTAAAAAAGATAAAAGAAGCAAAAAAATTACATTTTCATGGTCTATAATATGGAGTGGGTGCAGCTGATTTTTTCGTATGGGCGTTGTAGGCGTGTTCCTGGAAAAGTTTAAGTTGCTTTCAAACTTTTTTAGCAAAATTTTAGGCGATATTTTCAGTTTCATTAACAGGAGAATGTTTACGAACATGACGAACAGACGGACATGTGTAGGTGCATTCCAAATTTGAAACGGGCAAGAATTTATACATTTTAGAGGGCTTTTGAAGCTTGTTCCTGCGGCTTGTAAAGGTATTGAAAAGAAATTAAATTTTGATTATCTATAAATTTGGGTAGACCTAGTCAATGCCTGTGGTATAGAAGTGTGCAAGAGAGGTATCGAATCATCGTATGTTGAATTAATCTCCACAAATGCGAAGACAGCGTTGTCGGTGGTATTTTAAGAAAAACGTCAATGTGGGCCAACGATATCTGTTTTAATGAAATGAATTTTTCGTCTCATTTTTCGAAAGCAAAAATTGATGTCTTTTTTTTCATTTATTTATTAAAAAGGAGAAAAGAGATTTGAGCGATAGATAGTGAAAAAGAAGAAATATAAACCATAATTTCGGACAAAAAGTAATAACTGTATTTTTAACTAAATATGCATAAGTGATTGTCAAAATCCACATTTTACATACTACTAATAAAGAAATATTCACCTTAAAATTAACCCCAAGGAGAGAACAGATTTCGTGCATCTTTTATTGTTGTATACAGTTGCTGAGCATAAAAAGACGCTAAAACTTTACTATTGCTACAGCAATTAATCTCAGAATTTTATTTATTTTGCTTAGGCGGTATAATGCTTAAAAAAAAAAAGACATTGCAGTAAATTATTAAATATGCAATAATGAATAATGCTTAACCTAGAAGATATTCCAACTCGGGTTTCCGAAATTCGCCTTAAGGAGACCATATAAAAAGTGCATTTCATAGGAATCGTGCAAGAAAACACACACGTATATGCACAATTTTTATGGGAATTCCATGACTTGTGTACACAAGAACGTCTCTGAAAGAGATTTGAGCGAAATTTACTTTGATTATAGTTATTTGCAACATTTTTTTTTTTTTTTTTTTTTTTTTGATTTGCACATTTGAACTATATTGGGTTGTCCAAAAACTATTAGATATCAACATTTGAATACTTTTCCCATTTTAATATCAATCAAACTTCTAAACCCATAAATATTTAATGCTTGATTATAAGGCGAGGCTTAGATTTATTTTCTTTATTGATCGATATTAAAATGATTTGTATCCTGGTGAAACGACTTTGTTGCAAACAGTTAAGTGTATATATATATACATCATACATATATATATTTGTATGTATATTATATATATATATATATGTATAT